AACTATGCTGCCCCTAATGATTCATTAATCAAGTGTCGCCTAGCTATTCCTAATTGCGCGAGGTAATCTCTATTACTCTGTGTCGCATTTCTCTCAGAAAAAATAATTAAACCCTCTCGTTGCACACCGATCCATATCATTTTTCTTTTCAATTTCGTGGACCCCACACCTGAAATCTTACTATGTATTAAGGGAATTTTGCTCACAAGATACATGTCGCACTATTAGATTATCAATAGTTTCAAAAAATACGTGTCCAGTTTTCATTCGTTTAAAATCTAAAGTAGTCCATGTGTCAACATTTTATTGGCTTATTACTTTTTACTAATGTTGTAATACATCTCATAACTGTAATTTCCTAATAGTAAAACATTTATGATAATTGTTAAAATATCATTGGTTTTACCTTTTCATAGTAAAACATTTATGATATTGTAATTTTATCTTTTCACCAATTATTCGAGATTTAACTCATCGAAATAACTAGTGACATAACTCCGGCAACTTAATCTTTCATGATGGTAGAATATATCACCCGAACTTAATTTAATCATCAGAAATAGTTGCCGTCGAATTCATTTGATCTGCGGTGTTCTTGTTCCATTTGAGATCCCAGATATATTATACCGCTGAAGTTGTCACCATCGGCACCCTCCGTCTCCTCGAAGCCATCTGTTCCCACATCTCCGCCACGGGCAGACTCTAAAAAGAGGAGGCAAGGAGACCCCAAAAAAGAAAATAAAACAAAAAGAGGAGGCTTGCCACGAGATAAAGATAAGAGGAAAAAGAGGGTGGGCTGGGGGAGGAGAAGAGAAAAAATAAAAAAGAAGGGGGTGGCGGTTGGGGGAGATAATGGGAGAGATATGGTTTTTTATTTTGATGTTTATAAAATTATGATATGGCCTTGATAGTTTAAATTAGGAAACAATATGACATGGAAACTTTACATTATACTTAATTTACAACATAATTTTTTTAATTTCATGTATTTAGTATTGATTTATTTAAGTTTATTTATTATGTAATAATGACGATACCGATTTTTTAAGGCATTGTTAAAGAGAAAAATGAAGATGGATGTTCCCTTTTTTTTTCAACGAGTTGTTAAATATAACCCTTTGTAAAAGAGTTCATAGTTTTATATATGTATATATATATATATATATATATTTAATAATATCGTTAGGGAAAGAACTTTCAAGGGATTATAGTACATCCATGTAAGACAATCTCTTAGAATAGAGTGTTAAGAGCCGTCATGGAGTTCATTAGAAGAACTTTTGTAAGGCGGTCTCTATTTTGATTTAGATAAGTCTTAAGGATTGCTTTTTAATTTTTATTTTTAATTAATAAAATCGGGAGATGCTCGCCAGGTACCGCCCTGGTTCTGCTAAAAAAAAAAACCGAGGCAGATTTGTAACTTTCCAAAATTATGGTACCTTTAAGTAAGGCGATACAGAGTGACATGAAATTAAAAATATATAAGAAGATGGAATGAAACCCGCCGATTTTTTATTGCAACGGGTTGTCGAAAAAAACTAAACTATTAATTTATCGATAAGTGTCATCTTTAAACAAATAGTTCTTTCTTATTATTCTTTTTTTTTGGCTTAACGGGGTGCCAAAAATACTAAAATAACAGTAAAAATAATTATAATTTTTTAACCTACAAAAAACTCGGAATCTTTTAAGTGAGAACGCAGAGTGACATGTTGTTAAAGAGAAAAATAAAGATAGCATGAGACCCACCAGTTCTTTTTTTTTTTTTTTTTTGTTTTTAGGTTCAACGGGCTGATATAAATACTAAAATAGTAGCTAAAATCATTGTAGATTTTTAACCTACTAAAACCATTGTTAAAAAAAATGAAGATGAAATGAGACCCACTGATTTTTTTCTTTTGGTTCACTGGGTGTTATAAATACTAACATTGCAGCAAAACTCATTAAAGATTTTTAACATACCAAAACCATTGTTAAAGAGAAAAATAAAAATGGAAACCGGTTCTTTTTCTTTTTGGTTCAACGGGCTATTATAAATACTAACATACCACCTAAAATCATTGCAGATTTTTAACATACCAAAAACATGAACCTTTAAATAAGACAATACAAAGTGACATAATGTTAAAAATATAAAAGAAGATGGAATGAGACCCGCGGATTTTTTTATTGCAACAAATTGTTGAAAATACTAAACTATTAAGTTATCGATAAGTATCATCTTTGAACAATAAGTTCTTGCTTATTCTTCTTTTTTTTTCGTTTAGGCTCAATGCGGTGCCAAAAATACTAAAATACCAGTCAAAACAATTACAAATTTTTAACGTACAAAAAACTCAGAATCTTTTAAGTGAGAACACAGAGTGACATGTTGTTGAAAAGAAAAATAAAGATGGAACGAGACCCATCGGTTCTTTTTTTTTGTGTTCAACGGGCTGTTATACATACTAAAATAGTAGCTAAAATTATTTCAGATTTTAACCACTAAAAAACATTGTTAAAAAAATAAAGATGAAATGAGACCCACTGATTTTTTTTTCTTTTGGTTCAACGGGCTATTATAAATACTAACATTGCAGCTAAACTCATTGAAGATTTTTAATCTACCAAAATGCAAAAACATAGAACCTTTAATTAGGACGATACAGAGCGACATGATGTTAAAAATGTATAAGAAGATGGAATGAGACCCGTTGATTTTTATGATAACGGATTGTCGAAAATAATAAACTATTAATTTAACGATAATTATCATTTCTGAACAAATAGTTCTTACTAAACTTTTTTTTTTCTTTTGGGACCAACGGGGTGCCAAAAATACAATAATAACAGACAAAACAATTAAAATTTTTTAACCTACAAAAAATTCGTAATCTTTTAAGTGAGAACACAGAGTGACCTATTGTTAAAGAGAAAAATAAAGATGAAATGAGACCTACTGGTTCTTTTTTTTTTTTTTGGTTCAACGGGCTGTTAAAATTACTAAAATAGTAGCTAAAATCATTGCAGATTTTTAACCTACTAAAAACATAGAACCTTTAAGTACGACGATACAAAGTGACATGATGTTAAAAATATAAAAGAACATGGAATGAGCCACCTGTTTTTATTGTAACGGGTTGTCGAAAATATTAAACTATTAATTTATCAATAAGTATCATCTTTGAACCAATTCTTGCTTATTCTTCTTTTTTTTCTTTCTTTTGGGCTCAACGGAGTGCCAAAATACTATAATAGTATTCAAAACAATTATAAATTTAAACCTACAAAAAATTTGGAATTTTTTTAAAGTGAAAACGCCGAGTGACATGTTAAGGAGACCGACCGATTCTTTTTCTTTTTTTGGTTTAACAGGTTGTTATAAATACTAAAATTGCATCTAAAATCATTTCAGATTTTTAATCTACAAAAAACATAGAAGTCGGATAATACAAAGTGATATGATATTAAAAATATAAAAGAAGATGGAATGAGACCGCCGATTGTTTGTTGCAACGGGTTGTTGAAAATATTAAACTATTAATTTATCGATAAGTATAATCTTTGAACAAATAATTCTTGTTTATTCTTCTATTTCTTTTTTCTTTTGGGTTCAAAGGGGTGCCAAAAAATATTAAAATAGCAGCCAAAATCGTTCCAAGTATTTAACCTACCTGACACTAAGAACCTTTTGAGCAAGACGATGCAGAGTGACATGTTGTTAAATATTAAAATGTAGAACGAATGAGATCTTTTTTTTTTGTTTTTATCTAACGGATTGTTAGAAATATTTAAATAGCAAAATTTTATTTTTCTATCCAATTTCAATAATTATTATTTAAATTGTTTTTTTATTGCATGTTTTTATGTCTTATGAATTAAATTGGATTAAATTTTCTAATGTACTTTTTTTCCACGTGTTGTTATTGTCAACACGTCTATCAACCAAAACCATTGCAGTTTTTTTACTTATTAAAGACTTAAAACCTTTTAAACCTGAATATGCAAAGTAACATGGTGTTAAAAGTGAAAATGAAGATGAATTAATGGAAGTTTTTTCTTCTTTTTTTTTCTTCTTTTCTTTTTTGGCGTAACGGTGTGTCAAAAATACTAAAATAGCAAATAAAACTATTACAATTTTTAACCTACCATAGACTCGGAACCTTTTAAGTGAGATAACACGGAGTGAATTGTTGCTAAAGATAAAAATGAAGACTGAATGAGACCCGCCGGTTTTTTTTTTTTTTTTTTTGGTTTAACGGGTTGTTATAAATTCTATACCAGCTAAAACCATTACAGATTTTTAACTTACAAAAAACATGAAACATTTAAGCATGACGATACATAGTGACATGATGTTAAAAATATAAATGAAAATGGAATGAGACTCGTGGTTTTTTTTTTTTCCATCGTGTTGTCAAAAATATTAAACTATTAACTTATCGATAAGTATCATCTTTGAACAAATAATCTTAAATAAAAAAAATTTATTTTTAGTTCTATTTTCAATGATTATTAATCAAATTGTTCTTTTTTTATACGCGTTTTTATGTCTTATGAATTAAATTGGATTGAATTTTCTAATTCATTTTTTCCCAATGTGTTGTTATTTGTAACACGTCCATCAACGACAACCATTGTATATGTATTATTTTATTAGTAAATAAACAATACATTTACTGTATGTTGTAACCTATTATTTGTTATACACCTTCGTTTTTATTCTTATATGTTGTAATTATATAATCATATTTATCGTCAAAAAACATAAGACAATTTATTACAAATTTGCCCACCGTGCAACGCACGGGTAAAACACTAGTAAGATGTAAATCACCACAAGGGTAGAATCACCCACTCTTGTTAAAGTGATAAATTGAACTCATGATCTTCTATTGAGAATGAGGATAATTTTATCACTTAATTAACACCTTATTCACGGATCTATATTATTGGTGAAGTATGTTTTTTTTTATTGTTTTTCATGACTTGTATATTCTCAATTTACTCATTGATGGAGTATTTTGCCACTGCATGCATGTCAAAATTAAGATTGATATATCAAAAAAACTTTAACATCTTGGATTATCTAAGCCCATTGACATTTCATTCTCTTCCATCGGTAATAAAAAACATTATTACTTACCATCGTACAATAATTGTCCAGTTTGATTTTTTTTTTTGTGTATATAACACGGTATTCACCGTCGATAACAGTGATTAATTTTCCTCGTTCATAATAGACACTGCGATAAGTATATATAAGAGCAGATCAAAAAATTAAAAAAATACTCCATGATTCGAATACTCGACCAGTGATAAAGGCTGAAGGAATCCTTATTACTCTATTGTAACTTCTTTTTTTTTTTTAATATAATTTGTACTGAAAGGGAAAATCTGAACTGGATCAATTGAGGATCAACTTATGTATCTACGGTCTATACGGACTTTTGACTGACTCCAAAACTTGAAATTGGTCAATGGAACAAATTTTGACTCCTTCAAACGAAACTAAAGCCGATACTCCAGTTTGTCCTTTTTCTCTTGTTTTTAGTGTTTCGTTTTTTAAGAGTTTCATATATTTTTCGTTCTATTACCTCGGTCTTAAAAGAAAATTTAAATTAAATTTTTAAATTTATACTAAAAATAATACAAAACTTAAAATTTAAAGTGGACTATTTTTATAGAACGGAAGGAGTACATTTTTAAGTTCCAATGAGATTATTGGATATTTAACTAGTGGGAAGAAATATGATAGGGTATTGTTTTTAAATATTATTTATTTTTTCAATAACTGTAACCAAGTAAGGGCGAACTTTCTTTTCTTACAAAATCATCAACAAACATACAGAGCATTGACCGAAATGACTGCTCAAATTTGGAAGCACCAAGGTTGAATTGGATCGCAAAAGGGGGCAATTTTGGGCACAATCTAAAATTGTATCCATTTGAATAAAATTGCACCCAAAAAAAATTGCACCAAAAAAAAAAAATTGTATCCATTTGAAACTGTTAAAAAAGCTGCTAATGAAAGAGGAAGGGAAAAAAAGAAAACTGTATTTTGGTTCCTAAGTATTAGTAACCTCGAAATAATTGTATGCTGTAAATATTAGTGACAATTATTTCGTTTAGGAAGGGAGAACAGGTGGTATATGTATTCGTGCCAATTGGCGGTAACACAGTTTATACATGGATCAAATTTCAGGCGTTCACTGTAAAAAAAAAAGGGGGGTAAAATATTTTCCCCACACCGTTTTGGTTTTCTGTTCGTCATTTTTTGACCTCCCTAACTAAAGTTATTTGTTTGGTATTCCAAAGATGCAGTCAATCATCAAATAAAATAATACTACTTACTATGATTGGTTTTCAATTAACTTGGGTGGCGCCAACCCGTTGCCGTTGACCCGGTTGCCGATACTCTAACTCACTAATCAGCGCCCTAAATCTATCTTTCCATAGTTTCCGGCTACTCAAATCTACTACTCCGCCTCCTCCGCTTCTGGTGCTTGTCCCTTTCAACTCCACAACCACCAGCTCATCGGTTAGCTGGTAAATGTCAACGGAAGCCGTGAAATGACCTCGTTGCCCTTCCAGCCTCACCTTGTTGCAACAACCTTCTCTCCGTTTGACCTCCAAATTCTCCTCCTCGGCAACCTTCTCCACCCTCGCCAGAATTTCCTCCGGCGACTCCGCCGACACAAATCTCTCCCCCTCCTCCTCTTCCGCCGCCCCCCTGGCGGGGAACAACCGAGAGAGGTCGAACCCGGAGGAGAATGAGATGAGGTCGAAAGCATTCAAATGGTAGGAGGACCCGACTCCGTCGGACTTCTTGAACCACTCCGGGTCTTGGTGCTCCGGCGACGCCCCGAAGAAGTGGGTGTCGCCGTTCTTAAAGTAACCGGAGCCGCCCAATTGAAACCAGGGATGGGCAATGGTTTCGTCGAGGGTGATTCGGGTGTCCGGGTTCGGGTCAAGGAGACGGGAGAGCAAAGACTTGAGCTCCGGTGAAGTCCATTTGGGGCACCGGAAGTCGCCTTTGTAAATCTTCCGGTACATAACCATGAGGTTGGTATCATTAAAGGGGAGGTAGCCAGCGTTCAAGACGTACAAAACGACGCCGCATGACCAGATGTCCACTTTAGCGCCGTCGTACCCCTTCTTGGCGAGAATCTCCGGCGCCACGTAAGCCGGTGTACCGCAGAGCGTGTAAAGCAAGCCGTCGTCGCGGACCTGGTCCTCGGTGACGGCGCTGAGTCCGAAATCGGTGACTTTTAAGTCCCAGTTGTCGTCGAGGAGCAAATTCTCGGGCTTCAAATCCCGGTGGTAGACCCCCCGGGAGTGACAGCACTGGACGGCGGAGATCAACTGCTGGAAGTATCGACGGCTGAGATCCTCGCTGAAGCGGCCCTTGGCGACTTTATTGAAGAGTTCCCCGCCTTTGGCGAACTCCATCACGAAATAAATCTTGGATTTGGTGGCCAGAACCTCCAGGAGGCGGACGATGTTTGGGTGGCGGAGGCGGCGCATGATGGAGATCTCTCGCTTGACGTGGGCGGTGAGATTGCCGTGGACCACCTTGTGTTTGCTCACGGCTTTGATGGCCACGCTTTTGCCGGTCCGAATATCCCGGCCGTGGTACACTTTGGCGAATGCCCCGCACCCCAGCAGCTTCCCAACCTCGTACTTACCCAACAGGCACGGCGGTTCTCCCCCGCCGTGATCCCCTCTCGTCATCGTTCCAAACTCCATCTCGGAATAACCCGACTAATTGTTATTATTATATGATCACTGCCTGAATGATTTCCTCCTGACCTTTGCATCAACCCCCACCAAAACCTTATTTTAAATGAATATGAATTAATTAATATTATAATATTAGAAAAAATAAACACCTTTTTTCACGGAATATTGGTTTCAAAGATACGGTGTTGAGATTACAGGAGGAGGGTACATATATGTATGGGAAAAGTCGATGTTATTTTGGAAGGGCGCAAAAGAAAGAAAGTGAACACACGGAATGGAATAGGCCAAATGAAGGGATGGATAGACGGAAGAAAGTTCCGGAGTCCGGTGAGGGAAGCAAAACGCGGGGAAATAAAAGCAAGAGTTGGGTTTGGGGAAGAGGAGGGAGGGAGGTTAATGCTTGAATCTGATTGGAGATTTGTGTCCAGTTTCATTTGTGTGGTTCTATTTAAATTGGTTTCCCAAAAAAATAATAATAATAATAAAATTAAAATAATAAAAAAATACACATCAGTATCTGTACATGCAAATCATTCATCACGTGTATCGACAATCCAGAAGATTTACCGTGGTAGATTCGAGGTACTGTTTAAAAAAGTTAGTACTGTATTTCTTTTAACTTCCATGGAAAAAAGTTCTCTTTTTTTACAAAAGTTGTTTTAGCACACATATATTTTACGTTAGCGATGCAGATTTTTTACAATTTCAAAATGACGACCATACCACATAACCATACGTTCCAGATGAAACCATACAAATTAGGAAAAAAGTTGATGAACGATTAATTCAAAATTCAATTATTAAGGTTTATAACTATTTATATCTCTTAAAAGAGATTAAATATTAAATTACCTAATTAACTCCGGACATTTTATTTCCTCTTTTTTTTTTCTGAGGCAAACAATATTTTATTTAAGGAGATTATAGCTATAATGATCTTACTAGATGCTTGGCCCGAACGATGCCCGGCCGGCCCTTTTTTTAATTTTGATATGTATTTTGACTTACAAATAGTTTATTAAATGTACTATAAGTTTAATTTATAAAATCATGTAAAGTCGACGCCCCCTCCCCCCCCCCCCCCCCTCCCGTGTTGAAGTTGGTTAATTAAATTTTTTTTTTAAAGAAAAATCATACAGAACCAGCATGATTTAGTCTATTTTCTCATAAATTACATGTTTAATTCTATCATTCTAGCAAAATTCAATCAGTTTTACAATGAATTAGTATGCTAGTTCATCTGTTCAACCATCATTCTACTTCATTAAGAATTCAAAAGAAAATACACAATTAACATCGTCCTAAATAGCATGGCTAAAACTAACCCATAAATAACGTGTTTAATTCCATTTTCCAATCAAACACATTACATTTATTTCCAAGCTAGGATATCTAAACAAAAAAAAAAAATGCAAAATAAACTGCCTGCCTCAATTCTTATGGCCAAAATGTTGAACTACTCATAATTTAATCTGTTTTCCCATCCCATATTTTTCCTCACCTTATTTATTGTACAAAACACTTGGAACTCGCCCCTTTTGTTGCTGCAGCATCAACCTCAGCTTTAGGTATCCTTCTTTTCATGCGTGTTATTTGTTGCTACCTTTGTCTTTGTACTTTGAAGAGTGATGATTCCTTATATTGTCAACCGTATTACCCTGTTGAAGAGAATCCCTCTTTCTCACTTTTTTTCACGAAGACTTGGAACCGAAGAAGCATAAGAAGCCACTGTTTTGATCATGATTAAATCCTGAAACCAGCATCCAGTTTTCTCCATAAAAAGTCTCAACTTTTACAATATCAGCAACATAAATATTTGACCACTGTAATCATCATCATCCTCACCACTGCCTTCCACCAGAGTATGTCCACCTTAATTCACTGCTGTGACATTCTTCCTCGATTTTTCCTTCTTTTTTTTTTCAAAAGAAACCAAAAATCTAAAATTACATGAAAATCGCCAAGAAACAGCTAAAGCTTAGAAGGAGTTTCACTTTGTACTCATAAAGAGGGAAAACAATCAAATAAAAAAGGGCTTTCGAGTTTATAAAAATCAACACTAAATCAAAAGGTAAAACCAAATACAGTCCAATTAGGTTGCAAATTCAGAATTACAGAACCCAAAAGAGAAAAAAAATATATAAACTTTACATGTTTATGTTTCAATTCCTTTTTCATTTTGGGCTTTGAATCCTTCATCTGCCATCTATTTTTGAATGATCAATGCAATAGAGCTGGAATTCCCCTCCATATATGATATTCGTAGAGAAGAATCATTCATCGTCTCATCCATCGCCAATGGAAGAGTTGAAACGCCAACAGTATTATTTGGTGGTTTTACTTTTCATCAACAAATTCTATTGTTTATCAAACCTTTATTAATATGTTTGAATCAAAAGAAACATAAAACTCATCATATTCAGATCAAACCGAAAAGAGTCTGCTGTTGATGATGCTCGTTACTTGGAACCAATATGTCTTATCATGGTTAATTCGAGAAGAAGTGCCAAAACAAAGCATTAATATTCAAACACCAATTAAAAAGTGCAGGTTTGAAATCATTACCAAAATGTCCAAATCCGAATAATATTAAAAAATCTCTTGTAGCAAAATATCATGGCCAAGAATAATCCGTAGACTAAAGTACTTTTCATTAAACCACCTACATCAAACCACCACTGGCACCATAGGAACTAACCCTACTTTAAATACATATAATTTATCTAAAGGTGCATTTAGCTTACCATGTGATCCATGCATGGGTGCTCCAAAATACCCAGGCTACAAATTGAGTACACCAATCAAGATCACGACAAACTAACCAAAATTAGCATTATTGTTTAGAAAATTAAAAGATCACAACTCAGTAGGATTTCCCTTACCGTTCTCATTAAGAATATTTCCTCCTTTCCTCCTGCATACCATGTGGGTTAGCGATCTAAATACACACCTCCTATCAGCTGGTACTCCTGCTCATCCAATCAATCTTTAAACTCTAGAGACGCTTTCCTTGAACTAAAAATTAAAAAGTGATTTTAAATGATTCAAAAAATACATTTACAGCGAGGAACTAACTTACATTTCATGCTGGTGAATGATTTGCAGACGATATTTGGGTCCATTTGCATGATCTGGTGCTCCACAACTTTACCATAAGCTGAGAAATATTTATCAACTCACCTGCAAAAAAGAAGCAACACAAACAATTAGTCATGTTGCAATCATTTCCCAAAACTATTCTTCTGTCACCCCTGCACAACTCAAATATCAAAGCTAAATGAACAAATAATGAATGCAAAATTCTTACACATTAACCAAAAGGACTATAAAATGAAAAAAGAATCAATCTTGAAATATATATCTAGATCCATTTCCTGTTCTTTCTTAATGAAGTGCTCCAATTCATTAAGAGAGAAAAAATCAAACGCATTTCTAGAACACTTTTTCAAATAAAATCAACTTACGACTACAAAAAATAAAATAAAATCAAATTTTAAATCAGTCATGAAATTGTATATGTTGAACCAAGTAAGCCCCGCGACTATCATCTACATTCAAGAACCACGAACCGTTATTTATATAAATTTAAAATCTGGGTTACCTAAGCTCACATTTTTACAAATTATAATAAAGATAAAATTGAATATACCATATAGATATTTTGCCGTTATTCTGAGGCTTATTACTCTTCTTCACCCTCTTCTTTATCACGTTTTTCGAGAGCAAAGGAAAACTTGAATGTCTGCTCACTCAGGAATTAGAAGCTAGTGAAGTATTAGTATTTGGATGGAGGAGAGTTTTTAAGATTTTCCGTATGCTGGCTTCGTTTGATTGTTCAAGAATCTGAAAGTTTTCCTCGAACTTTGCAGGAATAGAAACAGAAATGGAACCATCTATTGTCACGATCAAAATTGAAAAGGGAAAAATAAAATAAGTGACTGTAAACAATCTAAAACCCATTAACCAAAATCCACCATTATTTCGGGAGTATACTCGTGAACAGGAAAAGAATACCTTCCATAGCAGAAGAAGATAATACAGCCTAATCTCCACCACAGTGGAAACTTGAACTTGATCTTTGTAAAACTATGATGATCAAAAGTAAATCATTTATGGATCTATTGCAACATCACCCGTAAATAGATGTTGATCATGTAAGTGAAAATTTAAGAATTCACAATAACAGACTAAACAAATTTCAGAAAAAAATAAATACAACTCCCAATTAAAAATTTTTTGTGCATGAGTTTACCCCAAAAACAACTCCAATGCCTTTTTTCATCATCAGGTTCATCAAATTTGGAATCTCCTGCTCATCAACACAATTCACCACAAAGTAACTTACGTGGTTGGAAACAATAATTTAGACAAGCCCAGCTTCAGCAAAAAAATCCCATCGGCACTCGATTCCAGAAACATATTACTCAGAACTGATTTGACAATCTCTCAATTTGGAGAATGGGAAGAGAAGAGAGAAGGTCTTTTACCTTATTTACCATGGTAAGAACTGCTTCCAAAATCTCTCCCTTGAACGGCCAAAATATTACGTACTGCCGGCCCAATTCAAGAATAATTTTTCTTTTCTGATTATTTGGGAAGATTGCCGGCCAAAAATAATTGAGAAGGTTGGTAATATGGCATATATGATAAAGTTGATCGTGGGTTTTATTCTAATTTGGAGATTGAATCTAAAATATTAGATTTTACTCTACTCGTAGTGAGTGATTGAATCCTGATTTGGGGGACTTTGATAAAGAGGTTGAGCGATTTACGTGAAAGTTGACTTTTTGAATCAATAGTATTATCCGGATCCGGATTTCACTCTAGTAATACTTGAATGTTTTTTTTTTTTTTTAATTGTGGAAGGTTTTTTCCGGAAGGGCACAGGACACGTGGTATCACTCTTTTACAAAAGATGTATTTTTTTTAGTTTAGGCGGGAAAAAAACCTATATGAAACTGACACGTGTCCTAAGTGTCATTTGCTTTCATGAAGTGTAAAGGGATACAGCACAATCATACAATACTTCTTAAGTCACCATATAAAACTAGTGTTAATATTTTTCCGGAGCGTTTTGCGAGATCTACCGTACATATGTATGCTAGTGCATTTTACGGAGTTAGAATTGGAAAGTGGACTCATTAAACTAGCTCTTCAATGATTTTGGATTAATGTACTTTAGTTGGCTCAAAAATTAAGAAGTTATATTATACTAGTAATTAATTTGAGAACGAGGTAGTAGTATATATACATTTAGATTTCAATTAAGGAAAACAATAAGTAGTAAAAAAGAACCAAAGAGGGAGAGCGGTAGAAAAAACAAAGTGGGTACTCTCTTTCCATTCCAAAATATGTGTCGTTTTAGCAAAATGAAGAAATTTTAAAATAAGTGTCGTTTTTGGATTTCAATACATTTTTTTCAAAAATTTCC